GGAAGATTTTCCCCAGGTTGTCTCCCCCCAATATATGCCAAACGTAGCTGCTTGCTACACATGGTAAATGACTGTCTCAGGCGAGGGAGGCTGTGGCGCCTGGCGGACTCATTTCTTCTCTCAGACTTCGGCTTGTCTTTTGCTCTTGAGGACTGGAGGCCAGCGGCTGTCTCTCGGGTGGCTATATGCAAGCTTGGAAGGCCCCAGATTTACTGACGATACAGATTGTGAACTTCGTGGACTAAGGTGTCAACCAGGGAACTAAGGACCTAAGAGCTGGCCAACCTAAAAATAAGTCAGCTCTCTGTACTCGTGTATGTCTGAGAGAAGCCTGTCACGTCTTATCGTGACTCGCTGAATTCTTAGAAAGGGTTTTGTTTTTTAAAAAAAATCATTTTATTGGGGCTCATACAACTCTACTTAGAAAGGGGTTTTTTCCTCTTTGCTCCCATCTGAGGAGGGGGAAGGGAGTGCCTTTCTCCAGTTCATTGCTGTTCCCCCCACCCCCTGGCTCCATGGTTTTAGGTAACTGCCCAATATTCCTCAGCACAATCGCCATAATGTACTTAACCATGCTCCTGTGACCAGACGTTGGGTCATTTCAACATTCCACTCTTAAAAATAACACTGTGATAAACACATTGGAGCCTAAGTTTTTTGGTGTTTTTTTTTTAAGTTTAGTTAATTCCCAGAAATAGATTTACCAAGGTAACAGGGAGGATGCTTGGTACATTTTGTCTTGGGACATTTAAAAAAAACAACACAAACTAACGACGCAACGAAAGTCCTCATTGGGGGGGAAAGAGAAGGAAATAGGTGGAGTGTGTGTGCAGTGCTTCCCAGAAAACAGGCCGAGAAAGAGGCCGGAAAGCCAACTTCTCCACTGGGTTGAACTGATGCTAGGTATTCTATAAGCAGAATAGCTCAGGAAGAGACGTGTCTAGCTTTTCCTTTTTTTCCCAAATGGCAAATGTTTCCGTTTTCCTTTGACAAAGAACACAAATTGAGCACCAGAGGCTGAAACCTGGACCTCGTTTCCCTGTTAGAACGGGAATTAAAGGAGAGCGGACCCAGAGCGCGGGTTTCAAGTCCCAGGTCTTACTGGAGTGACCGACCTGCCCGGTGTTTAGAATGGAGTGAGAGCAAAGGGGGCAAGGGGAGGGGAGAATGGAAGGCAGAATGGAGAGAGGGAGGGACAGAGGGACGGATGGACGTGCGGCCACAGGAGAAGGTGAAGAGAGAGCACGAACAAAGGAATCCCGCGTTAATCAGCTTTGGGACAGAAATGGATGATCGTGTCTGAAAGGAGCGGGTGCCTCCCCGCCAATTGGCTGTGGCACCAGCAGCGCGGTGAAGAGAGGGGGCAAGGTTTCTGTGAGCTCTCCTGGTCTTGACAAGGCGAGGTGTCTCCTTCTGCTGGGTGGGGATGGAGAAGGGGTGAGGGAGGCTGGCTCTGGCTGAGAACCGGAGTGTCACTGCTGGACCTCTTAAGTGTCATGTGGGTTTGACATGCAGCTTTATAGCTGAGCTATTGCCGTTTTTTCATTTCTTTCCCTCTGTTTCCCAATGCTCTGCGTATTCCTTCAGTGGGGGTGAGGGGGGCAGCCTTCTTACCGGCCTCTCTGCATCCATACAACTCTGCCTCAAGCTACCCCTCGATACTCCTAGGGGAATTTCCTGAAATGTCTGTTTCAGTGTTCCACGTCTCTGAACCCCAGCTATTAGCGTGCCCAACCTCCCTGCCCTTAGGAGTGGGCAGCAGCCCAGAAGAGAGTGAGCAGAAGGCTGGTGTCTTGGTTTGAATCTGTCGAAAGCCGACCCTCAGAGGAGGTCTTGGGAGCAAGTAGTTTATGTGGAAGGGGATCCCAGAAGGCCCTGGGGGAAGGCATCAAAAAGCCAACAAAACCCCACTGCCCTTGATTTGATCCTGATGACCCATAGGATAGGGGAGGACCCCCACTGTGAGTTCCAGTGAGCAGCCCACTCTGTCATCACTACACCACCAGGGGACCGACCGGAGGGGAGAAAGGCCCGTGACGTGTGCTGAATCTTTCAAAAACAAGTCATCCTGTCACTTCTTCTCTCCCGCTTGAGACCCATCAACACCCACGGGGTAAAGCCTGGATTCATCGCTTGGCATCTGAGTCTGAGCTGTAGCTGCTTGGACCACCGGCCCTTCGACGACTCCCTTCCTGACTCCTCCACCACAGCCACGGGGCCTCTCCCCGGCACTGGCCAGTCCTGTCTCTGTGCCTTTCTACGCCGCTCCGCCCGAGGGTCGCCTCTCCATCCCTGGGTGGTGGTACCCTCTCATTTTAATCATTCTTTCTCAGGAAGCATTTCACTCCCTTTTCATGGGGCGTGTTTTTGCTCTCCAAGAGCGACGGAGCAGTGAGGGTGCACTACTGGGTACCCCTCTGTGTCTTCAGAGTTCCGAATGGCACCTTGCATACAGAGGCCCGTCTTTATTGTTAGGTGCTATCCAGTCTGCTCCAACTCACAGCGACCCTGTGTACAACAGAAGCAAAGATCGCCCAGCCCTACGTCAGCCTCACGATTCATCTGAGCTCATGGTTACACCACTGTCAACCCATCTCCCCGAGGGTCTTCCTCCACTTTACCACGTCTGACTTCCTTCTCCAGGGACTGGCCCCTTCTAATAACAGAACAAAGTACGGGAGATGAAGTCTCTCCGTCTTTGCTTCTACGGGGCATTGTGGCCGTTCTTCTTTCACGACAGATTGGGTGTCAGGCTTACTGAGGGTGATCAGGATGTTTGGCTTTATCTTTTTACCCTGGAATGAAGGTGGAGATTGTCACCGCTAATAAGGCTTCTTACCCCAGAGTAGTCAAGTCAATTCACTAACTCCAAGTGACAGAGGAAGAAAGGCAAGCTTTAGTAGAAGGTACCTGTGAAACGACCAACAGCAATGTAGGCTGTCTTCCTGGGCCGTTTGATCACAATACATAGAGAATATATACCGTTTCCTTTGGAATTTGCACTTTGAGAAGTCATGTATGGATGGTGCGCATTAACTCAGGTCTCAAGGTAGCCATGGGAAAGAATTGTTGGTCATGGGCAAGCAAACAGAACGATACATTTCTTTCCATCGTAGGCCAGTCTCCGGATGTCTCTGTCCACTAAGGAGATAGCAAGACCTAGCGTTTTCATCACTAAGAGTCAGGTAAGTGAGGGAAGGCCCTCCGAGTTAGCCGGCCCTTCCAGGTGGTATCCACATCCAATGTTTGCTCCTGAGCAACGTGGCAAGCTGTAAACATCCCACCGAGGCTGCATTAAGTACCTTAGGCTAACTGCACTTAGTAAAAGGGATTTTCCTAACTCAGCTAAATAACTTGGGTTACAAGATGAAGCACATCTATGTTCCCTAGTTACCTGGAGCCTGTGTGCACGGCGCCCGGGTCTCCGTTTAAGAAGTGTGAGAGCAGTTAACACACCGGCCATTCGGACCCCCTCCTCTGCCGATGGGATGAAGGCATAAAGGGAGAAGCAGGAATGGTCTCCTTCGCTCTATGCACCAGGACTGCCGGGAGGAGGTGTGAACAGACATGGACGTGGAGGAAGGGCAGCTCAGGGTGCTAATCCCAGCTTCCTGTCTGGATTTTCCTTGACTGCTGCCCAAGACCTATCTTCAGATGGTCTCAGCTGCCAAACTAGATCTCCCCCTCACCTGTCCTGCCTGTTCCTTTTTTTCTTTTAACTCTTTATTGTGAGTTGGTTGAGGTTGGCAGAGCAGATCAACAATTTTCCATTCAGCAACTCTTAGGTGCTGTCTCGTCTGGCCACATACCAGCCCTACCCCACTCCTGTCCTGGGTGTCCAGTCCCCGTGGCTCCTCCTTTCCTGACCCTGCTGAACGGAACGTGGCCGTGGGTCCACCGTGCCCCTTTGAGCTCAAAGGGCTGGTTACTCAGCAGCTGCGCATAACGTGCCCTTGTTATTGCTCCCCTTAAAGATTTGCCTATTGTTTGGCTGCACCATTAAGCCTTGGGCTGAGTTCATTTCCAGACTTGGAGGGTGACTAAGGGCCATTGTCTCATGGATGCCACCATGCCACGGGCAGTCAGTCGGGCCGGGCCTTTCTCTTTTCTTCTGTTCCCCGTTTCCCTCCCCCTCGATCCAGGACCTCCGAACAGGAACTCTCTCAGGGCAGTTCACAGCCCTTGCTTGCTCTTAGCAGAAAAGACCATGTGGGGTTTCCTGTGAGAAGAAACACCCCCAAACCAAACCAAACTCCCTGTCTTGGAGTCAATACCAATTCACAGTGACCCCATAGGGCCGCGTAGAACTGCCCCTGTAGGTCCCCAAGAGCAGTCTTCAGGGCAGTAGAGGGCCCCATCTTTCTCGAGGGGAGGTTGGGGGTTTTGAACTGCTGACCCTGAGGTTAGCCGTCCAAGGAGCAACCCCTATGCCAGCAGATCTCCTGAAAGGAGTTTGCTTTGGTAGATAGTGGGGACGCCCAAAGCGCTGAGCTCCCCAGCTCCCTTGCCTCTGAGAATCCCGGAGCTCCCTTTGGCTAAGAACCAGGGCGCACACAGGGCTCCAGGCCCCCCACCCCCTGCACTTGGGGGCATCCAACCACCGGTCCAAACCTCCCTGGCCCCTCAGACTGACTCACTGGGCGACCGGGAGGCCCTCCAGCCCACCACACTCACCTGGCCCTGGCCCCTAGGCCTCCCCCTCTAGCGCAACAGAACTGTCAATCTTGCTTCACTCAGCAGCCCTGTCTAAGCGGCTCGAGACCCACAAACCAAGTATCAGAGTTGGGGCTCTGTCACTCTATCCCACGCACTCACTCCACAAGCCCCCTGCCCCCGCCCCCAGTAGAGGGGATGCGAGGGAGGAGCTAGGGTGGGAGTTGGACCCCCTTCCCCAGAAGGGAAGGGAGGCCCTCGCGCGGAGTCTGCGCGTGCAAGGGAGGAGCCCGGCGCTCGCGGCGTCCCTCGCGTCGCCATGGGAACGGCGGCCGCGGAAACCCGCGATGGCAGCGGGTGCGGGTTGGAGCTGGGCGCTCCCCGGCTCCCAGAGCTCGGCTCCGACGGTGAGGGCGGGGTCGAGGCCAGCAGGAGGGGAAGGGTCTTGA